GGCCTGAGGTCCGGATCCCGCTGGGCTGGGAGAGGCCCCGCGGGCTGGGGGGGGGAGAGTGCCCAGCGGTGGCTGCCACGGACAGTGGCGCCCCTGTGAGCCCTGTACTTGGCCAGAAGCAAGTCCTTCAGGAAATCATACAGAAAGAATGCGTTTTTCTTGGTTTTCTTTCAAAAACCAAGAGAGACACGTTTAATGTCAGCGCCACAGATCTCTGGAACCGGGAGCCCTCCGATGTGGGAAGCAGGACGATCTGAGTCCAGCCTCCATTGTAACGTGACTCTGGATGAGAACGTGGCACATTGCTTGAAAATACACAAATAAAACAATCAATGTAGTAGGATTCAATAAAACGACAACTTTTTAGTAGGAAAGGGGGAGGTGAAGGAGAGAGAATTGTCCTTCAGTTGGGAGGTTCCACTTCTCAGGGCTCCCCATCCCTTGAGTCAGAACTTCTCAAAGGGTCACTTTGGAAATCCGTGGGGCCATGTGGGCCGTTGCCACAATGACGGGCTCTACTGATGTGGCACGCGGGACCCTCACGCAGTGGGAGCCCCAAGGACGGTGCCTGCCACCACACACACACCCTCTCCCCGGAGGGAGCCAGCCTGGACCTGAGCCTGGGCCGCGCCTCGGTTAGAAGCATAAAACAAAGTTCCTTACGTGTTAAAATACTTACAATGTCCAGGACCACAACAACCGAGTAAATACAAATGGCTGCACTTGTTCTGTTTGACGTTTTACCAAGAGCTACTCACCAATTTCAGAACGCCATGTGATGGGCAGCGGGCAGTCACGGCTGTGAGTGGACAGCACAACGCAGGTCACCCTCAAGGTTTAGGAGCCAGCGCCTCACTGCAGCGTCTTTGATGCTGAAGTGAGTTCATTTTTAAAAATATATATTTATATTTTATTGATTTCCCACAGAGAGGAAGGGAGAGAGATAGAGAGCTAGAAACATCGATGAGAGAAAAACATCGACCACTGCCTCCAGCACACCCCCTACTGGGGATGTGCCCGCAACCAAGGTACATGCCCTTGACCAGAATCGAACCAGGACCTTTCAGTCCGCAGCTGACGCTCTATCCACTGAGCCAAACCGGTTTTGGGGTGTTCATGGGTTTTTAAGATGTATACACACCTAAATAGTTCAGAGCTAGAGTGATCATCAACAGATGCCAATAAAAAAGAACGATGTGACTATCAAGACGGAGGTCCTTAGGAAAACTGAGGAAGACCTCAAATATTTTTGCAAAAATGTACCTAAGATAGTGCTGCAAAAGTAAAACAGGAAGGATATTGTAGGACACTAAACACAATTTCACTTTAAAACCTAACACTTGGTTCATTCTTTGTATTATAAGAATACTGGAGGCCTGGTGCACGAGATTCGTGCTCTGGGGAGAGGGGCCTGGGGTCCCCAGTCCGGGACCCCTCAGGGGATGTCCCACACATCCCTCTTGCAGTCTGGGGCTCTCACAGTCCAGGACGGCTCACTCCTTACCGCTCACCTGCAGCAGAGGTGGGAGCGGCTCCCGCCACTGCTGCTGCTTCTGCCAGCTGTGGGCCTGGCTTCTGGCTGAGCGGCAGCCAGGGAAAGGCAGGCCCATTCTTGCACGAATCTTCGTGCATCGGGCCTCTGTATAGGAATCTGAAATTATGACTGCCTTTGTAACTTTGGTTTCATGGTAAAAGTCCCAAGCAGACTTCCTCTCCCTGCCCCGCATCCTGAGATTTTGGTCCTCATTTCTACGTGGATTCATTCAGGTGTGTTTCTTCTGGCGCCAACTCTCTTCCTGAGCTGAGGCCTCCCCTCTCAGAAGCCTGGGGGAAGGTGGTGCTGGCGCTCATGGCCGGCTCGCGAAGGCAAACATTTCCCGCCACCGCCTGGTCCTTCCGGGGCTGACGAGCGCCTTTTCTCTGAGCCCTTTAAGGAGCCAGAGAACAGAACAGGGCGAAGAAAACAGCCTGTGCTGGGTCTGCCTCCTACAGCTGCCACCACCCCTGACGACCAGCCAGGGCCCAGACGACACAGGACAGCACAACCCACCCGGGGGCACCAGCCAGCAGGCCCGGCCCCTGAGCAGGAAGTAACCAACGCGGACCCTGAAAACAGCGGTGAGAGCTCGGGCCCTTTAAATCCTCTGACGTTCGGAAGAATATTGTCCAGGGCCATTCACAAGAGGCATAAAATACATTTGCTTAAAAGTCTACAATCCATGTATATGCAGGTACCCATCCATCCTTCTCTCTGGAAATTTGAAAATAAAAATATCCTTTCTATGGATAGTCTTAGAATGTCCAATCTAACAAAACACGAACACCTAGTTTAAGAAACTTCACTTTACAAATGAGGAAACGGAAATCCTGGGCAGGGGTTGGACTTCTGTAAAAGTGTAGGTAGTTTAGCTGTTGTAAGCACCTGTTCTCTGCCACAGCTATTCAGCTGTCACGGCAGACCCAAAGGCAGCACAGACAACACTTCACCCAGTGTGCGACTGTGGTCTAATAAGACGTTATTTATTGGCACTGACATTTGAATTTACATTGTTTTTCACGTGCTACAAAAACACGTACTTCTTTCAACCATTTAAAAATGTAAAAACCATTTTTAGTGGATTTGGGCCCTGGGCCGTGGTCTCAGACCCTGACGTCCAAGGGCAATACACACAGCACCTGCCTCCTGATGCCTTGCTCATCTGCTCATTGCTTTACCCATTCGCTTCAAAGGCTCAGATCTGCTTCGCCATAAATGTACAACCGAGGAGCTCCATACATGTTTTTTTTTTAATTTTAATTTTATTTTAGGAGTAATATTAAGACCTGTCAGGAGCCATAGTATGCCATGCCATAGCTGAAAAGAACATTGACATAAAGCTATATTGAGCATTAAATAAAAATGATCAAGAGAAAAATGCAATAAAATTGAGAAACTCACTACATTTGAAAAATAGGCTTTATTTTGACCAGTGGTATTGTATGACATCCTATATGGTATAACTGATTACAGCCAAGTTCATGAATACAAATAAAATAGCAGTTTCCCTCATTCTCTCTTCTGAGTTCCGCTCAGAGAAGTCAGGAGAAGGGAGCATGATTCTCAGACACAGGAGCCCTGCCCCAGGTCGCTTAGCTCCTAACACCTGCAGAGACCGGATGGGAAGATACACAGAGCAGCACGTCGGAGGAGATCACACCAGCACATACAACCCCACACGCTGACAAAACTCACCCTGCCGTGGGCCGTGAGGGTTTGAACTGCACGCCAAGGAGATGAGGCCTTTGCACGCATCGTCCTTAGGGAGGGGACAATCCCGGGTGTGGCATGACCACCGTGAGCCGCCTCCTTCCCTCGCTCCGGCGGACGCGGCCCTACACTGTCCTCGGGAGCGCAGTCCCCGCACGTGACAGAAATGGAAACAGCTGGCGCCAGTGAGGCTGTCACGTGGCTCACACTTTCTCACTTCACAGAAGGTTTAAATACCTGGGCCCTGACATAGCACACGATGCCTGAAATTCAGAAAATTATGACGACGACTCTTCTCCACCCCTGAGGATATTTCATCTTTACAAAGTTGAAAATACAAAATATTACAATAATTTGCCCTTTCTCCCCATCAAAGGAATCACATTCTCAAAGGATTCCTGCAAAATACAAAATTCATTTCTCCCTAAACTGAGACCAAGAAGCCAACGTTACGCCGCCAAGAAGACCCCAAAGAAGGTGGAAAAGACAACTCTTTCCTTTTTTTTAGAAAAATAACCATATTTAGACAAAAATAGAGAAAGGAGTTCTGGCCTCAGAGCGTTTATTTTTCACTTTGATTTCGGCATTTCTTAGCATTGGTTATTGGGAGGGGAGAGAATGACTTGTTTCCAAAGGCTGAGGTTTCCTGGGAAAAGCCCCATCTTTCCCTTGATGGCTCCCCAAAAATAGTTGATTGAAAATCAGATGGCAGGAAAGAAAATGCTATATATATCCATCTGTTCCATTTCTTCATAATTTTCACATCAAAAGCACCTGGAGTATCAATTGTGTTCAACACAAAATAGCACTGGGGGCCGGAGAGATGTCACCTGCCCATAGCTTCAGCCAAGGTGACATGAGTTCTGAACTTCCAAGAAGTCCTCACTGGCCCACTTGCCTGGCACCACGGCCTCCCCCAAAAAACAGGGCAAGCAGCTGTGCATGCTCAAACAGCAAGGCGTGCAGGACATCATCACTCGCTGGGAAGAAAGAGCACACGGGACGTCCACAGATAGCAAGAGCCGGCCTCTGGGTCCAACACTCAGGAAACCTCTGCGCTGAGGGGGGGCAAGCAGAGAAATGGCACAACACCCGGGGGCGAGCGAGAAGCACATACACGCATGCCCACATGCACACGGAGCCTCTGAAGGCGGTTTCACAAGGTCGTCCACCCAGCTGACCACTCGCCTGGCTCAGAACGTCAATTGCCGCACTCTCTTCTCCCCCTTTAAGGCACAAACAGAGTCCGAGATACACCTGCTGCGTTCTGAGGACGGTGCAGAGCGAGTTCTTAGACCAGCGCAGGGCCAGTCGGTCCTTTTGGCTGTAGGCATCCCGAGGACGGCTCCCGAGCTGAAGCAGCCGTGTGGTTAAGGTGGGCCCACAGGAGAGGCCAAATAGTGAAAGCATGACTGGGAAGTAGGACACGGAATATTTTTACTTTGCACTGAACACCCCTAAGAGAACGGCAGCTCTTGCCTGCTTGAGCCGACTCACGAAGAAGCGCGAGCAGAGGCTGCCCCGGGTGCCTGGAACGCCACGGAGTCACTGATCGCAGTTTGCTGCTCACAGTCTCTTCCCCTCCCACACAGACAGACACACACACTAACACACATGCGTGCACGCACACAGCCCTCTTCCACCGTGGAGGAGATCTTCGCAACAGGAGGCACTTGAATGAGATTGGGAGAGTTCCCGCGGAAAGGCCTTCCCCGCACAGTGAAGTGGGATCAGCAGGACAGAAACCAGGCGCTCAGGATTCCATCTCTTCTTGGTCAAGGGGCGGAGGCACAAAGCTGACGACTTCGTCGTAGGTCAGGCCTAGGGTTGGGAAGGAAAGCTCAGGTGAGGTCAAGCTGTGCTCTCTGCTGGCAAGCTCTGTGCTTCTGAGCAGAGCCTCCCTGCCTCTCCCGGCTAGTGCTGGGAGGGGCACACCAAGGAACCAGTCACTGCGGGTGTGGGATCCCAATGGGTCATGTGACTGGCCAGAAGTTCAAGGACACATATCTGACCCATCTTCCTGTTTCTGTCACCGCTCAGTGCCTCCTCCTGGAGCCCAAGAGTAACAGAGCAGCCCCACAGACAAGCTCCAGCGGCAGGAAAGCCTGGCTCTGGGCAGCTACCCCGAGTTCCGAATTTTACGGGAAGAATCTGAGATTAGACCTGGATTCCATTTCCGGCTGTGTCCCTAACTAGGTCTAAGGTAAGAGGTAAGATATTTTGTCCCAATTGTATAAAGTATAAAGTTAAGATTTTTAACTGTAAAAATCTCCCTCCTTTACTCATCTCAGAAAGATGCTGTAAAGAAAAAGATTCTGAGAACCTCAGAGACTGAGGCAGGTGTGAGGGGCTGGGTGCAAAATCAGAGCAAATGTGAGGGCCTCCCAGCTCGGAGTGTCACCCCTTCTCGCTTCCGACAGAGGCCCTGACATGGTCAGCGAGCTGCTACCGGCCAGGCACCTCTCTCCGGGCACACGCCTCTCGCCGAGGAGGGAGCCAGACCGAGCTGCAGGCAGGCGTCAGGGCTGCCGGGCCTTACTTTTCCACTCGTCGATGAGCAGGTCCCGGCTCTCGAAGGACTGGTCGTAGGGGTCCGCCACGGGCTCGTCGTCAGGGTCGTGGTACTGAGCGAAGTAGTCGTGCGCGAGCGCCTGGGCGGCCGTGATCCTCTTGTCCGAGTCCAGGACCAGCATCTTCTCCAGTAAGTCCACAGCTGCCAGCCCAGGGAAGAGACGTCTCAGTGTTTAACATGTCAGCAAAGTCACACCTTACCGAGCCCACACCCAGCCTGACCCTTCAAGCCCACACAAAGGATTCTCCTCCAGGGCATCCGCTCCGGGGCATATTTCACTTTACTCTCGAGAGTGTATTTTGTATTATTTTTAAAGAATATGTTACTAAAGAATTAAAAAAAAGTAACAGATTCCATTTGAACAAGCAGACATTCTGTGGAATGTCCGTGCCAAACTGTTAGTACTGTAGTCCAACTGTTTCTAAACGAAAGCCTGAAACCAAAGGGATCTAGAGGAGGTAAGTAGGGCTAGTTTTTAATTTTTCAACATTTTTGCCCCCCTCACTGTTTTTTACCAATATAAGACAAATGACTATTCCTCAAACGGGTCTTCAAACAATGGACAGAACGAGGGCTTTCTTTACATAGGTGTGTGGGTGAGACAGGGTATCTGGAAAAAGTGATTATTCTATTTAAAAATTTTTCAATGTAACAAAACAATACAGTGAATACTCAGGTTGACCACACACATCCAACAATTAACATTTTGTATTTCTTTATTTCTATTTTTTGCTGCCCCCTTTTTAAAATAAAATTATACACGTGATACTTTACGGCTAAATGTTTTCACATAAAGACATCTTCCTATGCAATCATAAAACTATCACATCTGACAAATAATTTCCAAACATCTAACATCCAGTTCAAGTTAGAATTTCTCCAGTTATCCCGTTGTCTTTCACACCCACCTTGTTCAAACCAGGACCAATGAAGGGCCACACACTGCACCTGACTGGGTTTCCTTAGTTTCTAAAAAAATCTTACCTATTATCTGAGACCTAGTTAGAGACACTAATTCTCCCTTTTCCTACTCAGCCCAGAGGTCCTGAGAATGTCCACAATGAATCCACACCCGCGCTTTCTCCCACCCCCTGTGATTCCCCTAAAACCATGTGAGATCTAACCACCAGGTAGAATGCAGGATCGGCAGGCATCTGTCCCGTTATGAATGGTGCTAAATGTGGTCACAGGGTTGTTTCCTTTCTGCCCTAAGCAAGCGATCTGCGAGCTCTGGAACCACAGGAAAGCCCGGTCCTTCCACTGAAGGCTCCAACAGCCCCGATTTCCTTCTCAGCAGTTATCTCAGGGCCACACAATGGTGATTTCCTAACTGTCAAACGGGGTGTGCTGAGTTCCTGAGGATGCAGGACAAACTCCGCATGATCACAGGCACCCCCTGTGAAACCAGGCTTCTGAGGCTTTGCAAATTACTGACAGTTCTTTCACGGCCAAGGGGGCGGGCTGGGGCGGGAAGAGAAGAGCTTCCTGAAGAGGTTATTGCTGGGTACACGGAGGGGGTGAAAGACCCCATTCGGTAGCCTTCCAGGGAAACCAAAGAATTTGGTTTCAAGGGATAGAAAACAAGGTGAATACTTATGGGTTAATTCAGGCTCCACCTAAAGCCTTGGGAGAAATGCCTGGAAATATGTCCTTCTTCTCTTCTTAGAAAAAATAAACCGCATCAGCTGCTGTTTGAAGCATATGGTCTTTGCCACCCGAGGGTAAAGAGTACCATGTCCCGAGACAAGCCCCTGGCAAGGAACACAGTCTAAGATCTGGGCAGATACAAACACACTCACTACATCGAAGGGCAGTTTCAGTTTTGATTTGTGTGTGGAGGGTAACGTGAAACAGGAAATCAGTGACTGACACAACAGGTGTCAATATTTACATTCCTGCTCAGCTAACAGCTGGGCACGGGTTCCTGGCCAGTAACACCGTGTTCTCAGACGTCTGCAAGAAGAGACGGTACGGCATCAGCGCCTGGCAGGGAGTGGGCTGGGGTTCCGGAACCGCAGTGCGGGCACAGATGGCCTAACGCCTCCACGCACCTCGCTTGCAGTTGGCAGTGCTATGTGGTGTCTAGTCCTTTTGAATGTTTACATGTTTTGATTCAGATGCATGTGACCTAAATAAACTGCTGGTCACACACCCACCCTCTGGAAAATGAATAAACACATCGGAGTCAGAGAACAGGAAGTCAAAGGAAGCACTGCCAGGTCTGAAACATGAATCGATGTGATGAAAAACAGCCAGAACAGAATGATAGACAACTTCATCTCCCAAATTCTTGGAGTACTTACAACTCAGAGAGCGTCTCACAGGTCCCTGAACTAGACAACACAGCCAATGAGAGCACAGCAGGGCAGATGCCAACCTTAGCCAACCCGAGAATTCTGCACGCCCCCAAGAGTCTGGATTTGTTCCTGGAAGTGTGACCAGCTGGGACCTGACGAACCCTCCACCTCCAGGGCGGACGTAAATCACCAGCGATTGCCCAACACTTCAGCATGAGAGCACCTGTGCGACCTTGAGAATGACCACAGTGACACCGGCACTGCAATCAACACCGTGACGATGGGGTATTTAAAAGGTAAAACCTCTCAGCCTCACTCCGACCCTGAAGCACAGCTGCTGGGACCCTGGAGCAGGGAGGCCACCATACACTCTTGAGAAAAGCGAGAAGGTTGATTCTGCCACCATCATAGGCTCTCCTCGCTCCCTCCGGTCTGAGCTCTGTGTGTGTCCGCCACTGTCCACTGTGCCCCGAGTCAGGGTGCTGGAGCCTCAGATGAGGCCACCTGCAGGGGCCACTGAGCACACATCGCTCCCAGCTCTAGGACTAAGGCAGCTCCTTTAGCCAGGGAGATACGTCCTGCAGCAGCAGCCATGTCCCTTTGCCAGGTTCCTGGCAGTGATGGTGGCATTCCTTCAAGCCTGAGGTGGCAAATTCGCTAAGTCTCTGAGGAGCAGAAGAGGGGAAGGGGAAGGGCGGGAGGATGACCGGCCTGCAGCACCTGAGGGTACAGGTGAGCGGGGCACACGGCGGGGAGCACAGGGGCCCACAACACCGTCTGTGGCTTTTCCCCTCAGCCTGGGTAAGAAACGACAGCAGCTGTGAGCAAGTCACAGACTTCAAATCCCTACCTTTGTCATAACCAATTTCATATCCATGACGTGAGGATACAGTCAACTTACCCAAGGGGTTGGCACCAATAAACACATTTGCAAAGTTCATCTTCGGCATCTGGGTCAAAGACTGAATGTAGTTTCTCGCCTGCAAAAACAAAGGGTTTTCAAAATGGCTTTCTGTTCAGTGATGTCCCTGCCCTCAGAGTCTCGGGCCTGATCAGGAAGAAGCGTTAGCTGATCAAGTCTGCTAGCTCCAATGTGCATGGCTGTCTTGGGTAGTTATCAGACTTCTCTCTTAGTGCTGTCCTAAACTTCTTTACTTATGATCATTGCCTTATTTATATCCCTGCTATATTTCAGTTATATTTTAAGTGGATGAGAATGATAACTAAAAATTCCCTTTCATTAGCTTTCTGATCAGAAGTTAAAAAAAAAAAAAAAAGAGGTCAAAATAACTAAGCAGCAGCCCTTCCTGGGACAGCCTCCCTCCCTAAATGTTAAGAATGGCGTAGGAACTGGCACCCTCATGGAAGTCCGGGACTGCCAGGCAGTCTTTCGATGGCACTGGTCTCAGTGGGTGCTCTTAGTACACCAGAAGTATAAATATTAAACCTTATGGCAGCTGGTCGATGTTTCTCTCTCATCGATGTTTCTAGCTCTCTATCTCTCTCCCTTCCTCTCTATAAAAAATCAATAAAATATATTAAAAAAAGGAGGAGGGCCCTTCTCCCTTTCTTAAATATTAAACCTTGTTACCAAGCAATCTTGGTAACAGGTAAACTTAAGCTTAGTATATCCAAAGAGGTTCGAACGCATTTTAAAAACACTAAACCAATGAGAGCAATAAAGAGTAGTGAATTATAAATTACACGGCCCAGGCAGAAATCCTTCCCCTGCCATTTATAAGCTACATCTCCTTGGGCATGTCTCAAGTCTCATCTGCAAAATATTAATACTCGGTGCTGGTATGTAGCTTGTCTACATCATATGGTTATTGTGCTACTCAAGCAAGAGAAAACTCATGAAAGAGCTTCAGACTATATTTCTGACACAAACAACATTTATGTTACCAATAGGTTGGTCTATGTTTGGTCCCTGGGCTGGGACAGGCTTGAATTTGAATCTTGAGTTTAACCCGTTGAGCAAGTTACTTATTGAGTCCTCAGCTGTGAAAAGGGATCAGTCCCAACGCCTGCCCCCCAGTGCTGGAGCAAGGCCTGGCAATGGGAACTCGCTCCTTAGCTCAGCGCTGGGTCCCGAGCGAGCTCACGACACTGGCTGTACCGTGGCTGCCTTTGGGGGAGGTCTGCCCTCCTGTCCTAAGGATGTGCTGACTGCTCGGCTGCCTCTAGGCACTCTAGGGAACATAAGGTGCCAAATTCTTTCCGGGACTGACAGCTCTAATCAAGGCAACACCAAAAACTGGTCTTGAGAATAACGACATAAACGTCAGATGTTAGGTATTAAACTACATCCATGACCTTCCCTGTTTCAATGAATAAAGCCCACTATCTGCGTAGTTGAGATTAAACTTCTTTGAATTGATCTTAACCGCCTCCTCACAATTTCTCAATGTAAAGGTACTCATGTATGTGGGTGCATGCACACACACATGCGCAAACACACAAAGTTAGAAAAAGTTCTGGCTGCTAGGGCAACTTCACCTCTCATTACATGTGCAGTGAGCAGGCAAGAGCCGCTGAGGCTCTTTCTGATTTGAGAAGGAAGATGGAGGGACTGATACCTGCATGGCGGTAGTCCCTTTCTTCTGAGCACACAGAAAGGCTGAGGAACCAGAGGACAGAGAGGCCTGTCTCATCGCTCTAACAGGACAAATCAGACAGACGAGGTGCGTGTAGCTGAAGGAGAGGGCCTCTGTAATGCCAACATGGCTCAGAAAGTGAGGGCATCTAAGGAAAAGGTGCCCAACCCTCTGTGATGATGGGACTAGAGTTAGACTAAAGAGGTAAGAATTGGTAATAAAAAAAAAAAAAAAAAAAAAAAAAGGCACCTCACCCTGCACAGATATTCATATTTGTTCTATATTATTTGTGTGTTCTTTTGAACACAGTACTTACTGGGCATTTTAGTGTTTTTTAATGAAGAATCCTCTTTGGTCATTAAAGAACTGATGACTAGGGAAGTAAGCTAATGCCTTCAGAACTATTCCTGCAGCTGCAAGTCAACAGATGGCAGCATGCCCTAGCCCGGTGGTCGGCAAACCGCGGCTCGATTCACATGCGGCTCTTTGGCCCCTTGAGTGTGGCTCTTCCACAAAGTACCACGAGCGGGCGCGCACGTACAGTGCGATTGAAACTTCGTGGCCCGTGCGCAGAAGTCAGTTTTCACCCTGGGCGAGTCTATTTTGAAGAAGTGGGGGTGTCAGTCGGTCGGTCGGGCGACAGGAGACGAGGCCAAAGAGCCACATGTGGCTCGAGAGCCGAGGTTTGCTGACCACTGCCCTAGCCACAGGCACAGAACCCAGAAGACAGAACAGCCTCTTGAGCACTAAATTCATAAAACCCAAGTAGAAAAGTGGCATCATTTCTACATGTAAGTCTATAACTTGTATTCTCAATCCACAGGACTGAACGAGAATTTATCCTCAATATCAACATCCTGCAGCAGCGCACAGGCATCGGTACCTCAGCGGCCTCAAGGCACATGCAAGCACTCAGGGACAGTACAAGTGTGCTGGTTATACAGTGGCCATCAAGAGAATGTGGCCGTCTGAGGGCATTCCCTGGGCAGCTATTGTTCTCACCTCGTGGCTTGGCATCCTGTTAATGAGATAAGCAGGAGGTGTGCCCGTCAGACGCATAATCTGCTGAAGCTGGTTAATATCTTAGATGCCTAGTCAAGGGCATTGTCAAACATACGGTGCAAAAAATAACTTTCAACTCAAGTTTTAAAAGACCGATAGCCACCCCCAAGCAATAGAAAACCTAATTTCCACCCGTCCCACCCACCCCAGGCCAGAGCCCAAGGCTGCATACTGAAGCACGATTCGGTGAACGGCACGAGACTTATCAGGCATGTAGCCAGTGGCTGGCCGTGCAGATAAGGACAAGTTTCTGTGGTTTTAGCATCATCTTTAACATTATATATTTCAGGATCCTTGGAAAGAGGTGCCCCTTGATCCAGGATGCCAGCCAGAGAACTATTCCAAGTACTGATGGCTAAAACCCATTTGCTTGTGGGTCAATGGAGATGATTAAAAAATGCTGACTCAGTTCAGTTCAGAAGAATATACCCAGCGTGCCCATTTAAGGAAGAGGTTAAGTTTTGAGGCACAGGCTCTGGTGATCTCCACCCCTCCAATGTAAGACACGGGTGGCTGTTGGGTTGATAAGCAATGCCAAGTTTCAGAGACATTAGTAGTGGTACATTTAAAATACATGCCACAAACACACAGGCAAGTGAAGAAAGAAAACATGGGGGAGGTTAGAAGCTAATGGTAAAGACAAAAGAGAAGTCCCAGCCTGCACTCCACAGTGATTTCTCCCAGTCGTTTTAACCCGTGACCACACTGACCTCAGCTAACAAAGAGCTGGGACGACGTTTGCAAAAACACTGCAATCACTCGACAGAGGCAGAACTATAAACAAGCACATACACCAGCCGCACTCCTTTTAGCTGTGCCATCGATTTTAACACAATTCCCCTCTTCGAAAATATTAGGAGGACTGTTCGTTTACCTTGAGTTCCTGCGAAAGCAGAGGTGATGGGGTTTTTAAAATCCTCAACACAATTCAAGAAAAACCTTGTCATACTCCCTTTCTCTTAACTATTCACGCCCTCCTTCAGTTGCAGCAGCACCTTCATAAGCACCCTGGTCAGTGATTTCACTGCTTTGTGGCTTCTCGCAATCATTTTTCTGCTTCAGCTCATTCCCTGAACTCAGTTTCCCTCGTGGCCTGACCACTGCAAACACCTGTGAGGCTGGCCTCAGGAAGGAGCTGGTTCCACGCTACTGCTTCTGCGCCAGCATGTTCTAAAGGTGGGGTGAAGATTCTTAACACTCTCACCCCACGTTTAGATTTACTCTAAGCAAACGACATAGCAAACAGTTCTCTGCATGCCAAGAGAAATAACAAAAGGGGTCAGTAAGTGAACCAGCCAAAGAATGCCAACTGGGTTTTAAAATGTTAAAATCCTGCCACCTCTCTCCTTTCCTATGAATAAGTCAGAGTGGGGCAAACACGGGTGTACGGCTGTTCGCATGGGAAATAACACAATGATTAATAAACAATAAACAACACAAAAATAAACTGGGTTTCATGGACTCATAACTGTTACCCTACATTTGCCCACCATGTGCGTGGCCTGTACAGTGTCTGTTTTGTTTTGTCTTCTTTAGCCAAAAGGCTATTATATTCCCTTGTCAGGGGTTAGAACAATAAATTTCTAGGGAAAAGTGTGAGAATGAGTCAGTGAAATGGCTCTTTTGCTTTCTTAATGGGATTTTTGTTGTTTCACTAATTGCTATTTGTACTGGGTCACCAACCAAAAGAGTCTCTCTCCTTAGCATCCATCTGGGCCAATTTATCCCGTCTCTCCAGGCACATCCTGACTTGTTCTCAACCAGCCCATCTGTTACTGCGTTCTCCTACTCAGAATGTCCTCCTCTTTACTGACTCAACACTATTTCCCTGCTTTTCAGGAGTAAAGAAAGAGCTATTGCCTTTCTGTTTACTACATTCCTTAAACAATGAATTTTTAACTTTTAAAAATCTTTATAAATAATTTTACTCACCTGGCTTTGTTATTTCCATATCACGTGTTCCACACATCATGTGCTTTTTAAATAAATTGGCACTTGGGCAATATCACTAAACATCAAATTAATCTTGCCTACCTGTCTGAATGCTTAACCTACTGTTATCCACTCACCATAATTATGTAGGAAAAAACCAAACCACCCGTTCTTATTCCTATACTCAGTACAATATTACTTGAGTAAATTCTGTATGCTGGTACCCAATTTTATTGCTTTGTAATATATAATGTGCTTTATTTCACCAAAAATAAAGATATTTCAATATTAGCACACAGCACACAAAGGGCACACGTGCTTAGAAACACACCCGAGTCAAGGTACAGATGGAAGGCAAGTTGCAGACTCCCAACAGGGCTGTTTCTTTCCTAAGGATAAATGGTGGCTTAGTAACAGGTAAACACTGTTTTACCCATTCCTCTTCTTTTGGAAATTCTTGTGACTAATGGCACATATCTGCGGGCGGGTGGGCAGGAGTGGGAGGGGCTGAGCAGGAGCTGCGGTAGCCGCCCCAGGCGGCATGAATCTGCTCTCTTAGTCTCATTAGCTCTGCTCATTAATAAACCCAACTCTTCTCAACCCCTCTCCTCCCTCATGACCTCCCTACCGGCCAATCTTTAAGCAAAGGCATTTAAAACAAAAAAGCACGTGTTCTAAGCATCTCCTCGTATCATCTCTGATCTGCTCCAATACAGCTTCTGCGTCTCATAAAGCAGAAGACAGTCCCCTGGGCTGACCGTGTGGTCGGCAACTCTGACAGTGACTCACAACGTGCAGGCGCCTGAGACTCAGGTTCAGCTCACGATCTCAGAGCATCTGGGATCTCCGCTCGGCTCTGCCAGGGGACCCAGCGCAGGACTCGGGCAGGCCACAGCCTTGCTGTGCTTTTGCTTCATCGTCCCAAATAAGTAAGTAAAATAAAATAGGGCTGTTGCATTCTCTTACATATCGTCAGAGTGGAAATTCATAAATACTCTGGGCTTTGTGGTCCTTTTAAGGAATGTGCCAGACACATTCCAGATGACAACAGCCTGTATTTGACAGGGAGATGATGAACCGTTTGAACTCACCTGCAGCTACCCAGCAGTCTTCCCCACTGGGCGAAGGGACTGCTAGGAGGAGAACCCAGGAAGGCACACTGCAGCCTTCCCCCTTCTACCCACTGCCTGGCAGCGACAGAGGGAAAGAGATGCAGGCTGGGCTTTCACGATTTCGCTCACATCTCCTGCCCAACAGCAGGAAGTCGTGGCCAAAGGAAGCCAGAGTGGCTTCTCTGTCAACGCCTGCGTGGAGGCAGGAAAGCACTGTGCCAGAGCTTTTTATCTGGTTATTACAATTTGTAATCACAAAGACAGGCTGTGGGAGGAAGGATTATAACCCCATTCCTGTGGCTCTGAGGCAGCAGGAGTGAGGAGCAACCTCTGCTGGTCTGGGGACGCTTTACACAGGTGTGCAGGCGGTCTAGTCTCAACCAACAGAAAGCAAGGAACTTCTGGAAAAGGGCACTAACGTGCAATGTGCATTTCATTCTTTTAGTGCTGATGGCAGACTAATCCATGGTGAACCATGTGATCTGAGAACCAACGCTAGCCCAAAAGTGAGAAGAGCCCTTGACTACATGGGAAACCTCTGAAAGCGATAAAGTCAGGGCTGAAACAGACAAATTTCCCACTAACCTCTGGGAATGAATTAGAATTTCAAATCTCATTTACTACCACTAGGATACCACTGCAGACCCCGTGATCTAATGCATACCCAGATAGAGAAAAAAGCACACTCATGCATGTGAGCAGGATGGTGTATATGTGTGCAAGTGTGTACACACACACACACACACACACACACACACACACCCTCATCCAGAACTCAGCACACAAAGGGCACACGTGCATAGAAACACACCCGAGTCAAGGTACAGATGGAAGGCAAGTTGCAGACTCCCAACAGGGCAGATAATTACAATCAAAGCATCAACTCACAGACTCTGAGGAGATTTTCTTCAAAAGCTCAGCCCCTGGGGTTCCAACGAGTCTTAAAATGAGCTTCAACTGATCAATATCTAAAGGTGGACTATAAAGGAAAATGTTGGGACAAAATAAAAATGGAAAACAAACAACAAATAAAACAAAACAAACACAAACAAAATACCCCAATGACAAGAATGAAAAACCAAGCCAAAACGGTGAACCGTCTAGTTAAGGCTTCTGCAGGACGGTCACTTCACGTAGGACATGCTCCTCCTGTACAGGATTCAAATGCTGCCACACACCCACGTACATTCATCTGTGCGTCTGTCCACACCCCCTATTAGTAAAGTGAAGCGACTGTAGCCGGGCACTGAGCTCAGAGACAGCAGGCGAAACACGAGAGCTGCCCTCCGTCCAGATGCTCACTCCACACCTACCTCTTCACCTTCCACCAAAACATCAGAGCCAGGTAAGCCAGAGCAGTGGTAGGCAGAGCTACAGAACAAAGCAGGAGGGCACAGGAGCCAGGGAAGACCAGCCGCCCTATAACTATCCCCGAGGCCTGACCTAGGAGCTTGTAATGTGGCAGGGCCTGTGCAGAACTCAGAGCCCAACCACTGAGCATTCCGCTGGAATGCCTCTCCCTCTGCCCTGGCAGAGAATTGTGAGTGACAGCCAGCAGAAGGCCTCACCCTACACCGCACCTGAACGACCTCCAGGAGTGCCGTAACGAAGCAGGACCGATGAGGGTTTAACCTTATAAAAGCATGAACAAACTCACACACCCCAAAGGTTCTAAATCATAAGCCACAGTGCCAAACCTCTATTCCGGTGCCAAGTCTTCAAGAACCCCCAGAATGTACGTGCACTTATTAATGAGATGACAAAAACTCCCATGTGCTCTCACTGCTTTTAGCCTTGCCTGAAAAGGAGGGGGTGGGATCTTCTAAAATAGCTTTTAACGATCTCTCTGAAAATCTGAGTCATTTACTCCGTCTCGCTGGCATTCGAGGGGACAGGACGGGAAGATGACTGCCTCTGATCCCTGCAGGCTTTGCCTGATGAGGTCCTTCTCGACCTCAGTCTCAGCTTAAACTTCA